GCCCCACTGATGTTGTGGACAAGGAGATCAGGATATATTTTCAGCCTTGAGAAGAAGTGCAAGTGCCAGAAATGCAAAATTCCTCTGTCCCTATGTTTAATTCTTTGCTCCTGTTTTTCATTGGCTCCCCTTCTGCATGATCTCATGGTGTCTCTGAGGGTACAGAAATAGACAGCAGAGTCCTTCAGTTGACTGGCATCTTTCTCTAAGTTGTAAGTCCCATTTTTCTTTCCTGCATGATGAGTAGCATGAAACCCTTGGACATTGCCATATCCTCTCAACAAGAGCTTTGGAGGCTGACCAGGGTATTGAATGTACCAGTACGTAAAAACTGTGCTACTAAATTGTATTTCATAAGAACAACAGAGAGGCAGATGTTTTCCTTCAGCAACAGTTAGACTGCCAGATATTTGCTTCACTGACTGTCCCGTGCTTCCTCTTGGACAGAAAATAATGGAGAAGGCATGAGGTTAATTGGAGAGGTGGATGAGTAGATCTTTCTGCCTCATCTGTGAAACAACCTCACTGCTGCTTGGACCTACTTTCTTACTGCCTGCAAACATAATTATGAGCATTATCCTGGAGAAATTCCTTCCCAGTTTTATATCCTTTCCATCACGCCCACCATCAGTCACACTGAATCTGTATGCACACACAAGCTTCAATACAGCTGAATATTTCTGTCATTCATATTCCTTACAAAACTCTATTGACAATCACACAGATACTTTCCAAGGTATCTTATTCTATCTGATTTCAAGGAATCCAAATAACTCAAGATATGCCCAGCCAAAGACTATATTCAATCACTGTGGACAAATAAATACTTACTTAAAAGTGAAATGATGATGATGAACACAAGGAAGAGCCACATTTTTTTTCCTGATATGGCTATGCTACCCTCAAAAGTAATGGATGTATTATCCTCAAAAAATTCTTAGGATGATTTCAAAGCTCACATTCAGAGCTTCCCTGCCAGCTTTGGTCTAAAAGAAACTCTGAGACTGAACAGCTCTTTCCTTTCACAAAAAGATGGGCTTCTCATATGTAAATTTGGTGGCAAAAGGAAGACAAACCACAGGATGTGATTCAATGAGCATATGTGCTACAGAGGATATCATATGTGTCAACTGGCAAAGCTCATGTTGAATCAAGATTGCCACCATGTGTTCTAAAGTAGGTATAAGGAAACCTCTCCTTTAAAGGAAGAATCTAAGTGTTGAAGGTGATTTCTGAAAGAAAAAGACATTGTTGTCCAGGAGAAGGGAGAGTGAACTGGGAGAATAAATAGGAAAGAGAGAGAGAGAGAGACAGAGAGAGAGACAGAGAGAGAGACAGACAGAAAGACAGACAGAGAGACAGAGAGACAGACAGACAGACAGACAGACAGACAGACAGACAGTGGTAGTTCAGGCAATTACCAGGACATTAGTAAACAATTGTTGATGGTCTGGCACTTTCCCCCTGACAAGACTTGTGAGAATGTTCAAGAATAAATCTGATAAATGCTAGAAATGTCATCAGATACCTGGTTCATATTACCATATGTGGTGGACATGTTCGGACGCGAAGAAATATTGCACTAAATTCCACACATGGTTGGAAAAAATGATAAAACAACATATAGACTTTAAACCAGAAATCTTTTTTATTGGGGATCATACCAGACATATCCAATAAAGAACTGAAATATTTGATTGGAAATGTTTTAACAGCAGCTAGAATTGTATTTACGAAGAACTGGAAAAATGACAAAATACCTATGCAGGAGGAAGTTATCAAAAAAAATTATGCACTCTACTGAAATGAGTAAACTGACATTTGAAATTAGAGAACAAGAAGACAAGCAATTTTATATGATATGGGACTTGTTTTACCAATGGTTGGATAAAAACGCATGATAATGTAATAAACTACATAATTTTGTGATAGAAATTTAATAGACTGATATAAACCATGATATAGATATATATAACCATTGGTTGAAAGTGTAACAAAAATGTTAAGATAAAACTTGATACATCTCGTATAAAATGATAGAATAAATAGTTTAGTCATGGATGATTAATAACTGATAAATATATAAGCATATGTTAGTTTGACAATGTGAAGACTGATATAAATTGTGAGTAAATGACTACAAAAGGATAGAACAAAAGATATGTAACCAACTGACACACTGTACGTATATATAAAATGGAAGATGGTTTTATGTTTTTATGTTTTGTATGTGTATGTTTGTTTTTAAAAATAAAAAAAGTAAAAAAAAACAATCTTTGATGGCACTTAAAAAATCTGCATATTGACAAAATTTCCATCTGTCAATGCACCATATTACCTGGATCCAAACATAGACCATACCAATACTTTACAACAGTCTGAGTTTGTGGGAAAATAAAAACCAACACCAGTAAACCCAGAAGGTATGGTTTCATATTGTTGTATATATAATAATAGTAATAAAACCTTGTTACTCCCAATTCTCAAATTTCTGGGAAGCTCAATCAACAAGCAGAAGTGAGTCTCTTAAAAGACTTCAAAATGTCTGAGGAATAATGTCACAGGGAAAGTGAATTGCAGAACATCAGAAAGAAACAAGAAAGGAAAGAAATGAGGATTATAGTAGTTTCAGTTCAATTGGCAACAAAACACTTTTTCTCTGGCCTGGCTGGTATGATGGACAAGGAGATCTTGAGTTATTTTGATTCTTGAAAAAGAATTTTGAAGTGCAAGTGCCACAAATGCAAATTTCCTTTGTCTCTACTCTTAATTCTTTTCTTCTGTTTTTGATTGGCTACCCTTCTGCTTTCTCTCATTGTGTCTCTGACAGCACAGAAGTAGACAGCAGAGTCCTTCAGCTGGCTAGCCTCTTTCTCTAAATTGTAAGTCCCACTTTTATCTCCTTTGTGGTGGGTAGCATGGAATCCTTGGCCATAATTTTCATACTCCGTCAACAAGAGCTTCAGAGGCTGACCAGGGTGCTGAATGTACCAGTATGTGTAAATACTAAACTGTGCTTCATAGGAACAACGCAAAGAAACAGCTTGTCCTTCAGTAACAGTCACAATGCCAGATGCTTGCTTCACTGATTGTCCTGTGCTTCCTCCTGGACAGAAAATAACAGAGAAGACATGACATTATTTGGAGAGGTAGACAAGTAGATATTTATCCCACTTTTCAGAAGTAACCCGGCTTCTGCTTGGACACATTTTCTTAGTGTTTGCAGATCATCAATGCTAATTTCTAGATCTGGAAAAACTACCTTCCCAGTTTTGTATTTTTTCCATCAAGCTCACCACGAGACGCACTGAACACATACACACACAATCATCTTTTCAATCAAATATGTCTGTTCTTATTCTTGCAATTCCTTGCAGATAACCAATTTCCCAGAAATCTTCCAGGAGATTCTATTTTACCTGATTTCAAGGAACCTAAAGAACAGAAGTTATGCCCAATTGAAAATTGTAGTCTAACTTTGTGAAAAAATACTCACTTAAAAGCGAAATGGTGATGGTGATGATGAGCAGAAACCTCAGCCACATTTTTCCAGGTGAATAATGCAGTACTACCTCAAAAAATATTCTTTGGAGGACTTCCAAGTTGGTGTAGACACTTCCAGACGTTCCCTTTGCTATAAGAGGTTCTACAGCTCTTTCCCTTCACAAATAATTTGGCTGTTGCCATTCACACTCGGTGGCAAAAAGGAAGAGAAATCACAGAATATGGTTCAGAGAGCATATGTGCTAAAGAAGATAACATGTTTGTCAGTTGGTAAGACTCATGTTGGCTCAAGATTGCCACCCTGTGTCTTAAAGCAGATGTAAGAAAGCAGCCAAGTTCAAATGTTGAAGGTGATTTCTAACCATGTTGGAGAGATGAAAAAGCGGGAATAGAGATTATAACTAGATGAGAAAGAGAGAGAGAGAGAATCTGCATAATATGAAATGAAAGTTGGAATTGGTCATTTTAGAGTCAGAACTGGTGAAAATGGAAAGATGAATTCCCTACATTCAAAGTTCTTCTGCATAACCAACTTACAACTTTATCAGCTAAATGATATGAAAACCTTCCCTAAATCCCTAAGGAGACAAGTGTTTCCAGAGATTAGGCAACATTTTCTTTTATTCCATCCCACAGAGGAATAATGTCCCAGGGAAGCCAAATTGTAGAATATCAGGAGGAAAAAAGAAAGAAAGAAAATGCTGATTATATAGCATGTTCGGTTCAATTGGCAATAAAACACTATTTGTCTGGCCCAGCTGGTATTTTCAGCCTTGAGAAGAATTTCCAAGGCCATGTGCAATAAAGGCAAATTTCTCCATCTCTCCTCTAAATTCTTTTCTCCTGTTTTTTATTGGCTCCCTTTCTGCTCCTTTTTTGCATTGTGTCTTTGGTGGCATAGAAACAGACAGCAGAATCCTTCAGCTGTCTGGAATCTTTCCCTACATTGTAGCAATAGCACTTAGACTTATATACCACTTCATAATGCTTTCACAGCCCTCTCTAAGTGGTTTACAGAGTCAGTGTATTGCCCTCAACAATCTGGGTTCTCATTTTAGTGACCTTGGAAGGATGGAAGGATGAGTCAATGTTGAACTGGTGAGAATCAAACTTCTAAACTGCTGGCAATTGGCAGTTAGCAGAAGTAGCCTATGAAACTGCATTCTAACCACTGTGCCATCACAGCTGTTCTTAATTGTAAGTCCCACTTTTCTTTCTCTCATGCTGAGTAGCATTGGACATCATCTTTATGCTATATCAACCACAGCTCTGGAGGCTGACTGGGGTTCTGAATGTACCAGCGTGTGCAAAATGGGCCAATAAACTGTGCTTCATAGGAACAATTGAAAAAAAAAATAGCTCTTAATACTTTTTCTCCTGTTTTTGATTGGCTCCCCTTTGGAATCCTCTCATTGTGTGTCTCTGAAGACACAGAAGTAGAGAGCAGAGTCTTTTAACAGGATGGCTTGTTTCTTTGTGTTGAAAGTCCCCTTTTTACTGCTTTTATGGTGAACTGCCTGGAAACCTTGGTTCTTGTTGTCAATTTCATTCAACAAGAGCTCTGGAGGCTGACTAGCATGCTGAATGTACCAGAATGGGAAATTTATGCTACCGGATTGGGCTTCAAACAAACAATTGAGAGAGACAGGTTGTCCTTCAGTAACAGTCAGAATGCCAGATGTTTGGTTCACCAACTGCCCTGTGTTTCCTCCTGGACAGAAAATATTGGAGAAGGCATGAGTTTAGTTAGAGAGATGGACAAGTAGGTCCTTTTCCCTCTTTTCAGGAACAGCCCTAGTCCTGCTTGCACCTACTTTCTTGGACTCTGCATACATCAATGCTAACTATGAGGGGTAACCTGCAAAAAATTCCTTCCCAGTTTTATATTCTTTCCATCATGTCCACCACCAAGCAAGCTGAACACACAAACACACAAGCAAACTCTATTCCAGCTAATTGCATCCAATATTGTTCTTGAAGTTCCTTGCAGACCTTTTTCTACCATATGTCAAGGAACCTAAACAGCTCAAGATATGGCCAGTCAAAACTCTAATCTAATCTAATCTAAAATAGTGAAGAGTAAATACGTACTTAAAAGTGAGAGGATGAAGATGATGAACAGTGGCCACAGCCTCATTTTTCCAGATAAAGAATGGGCTATTATCACCCCTCTGGAAATCTTCAAGGCTGGGGTGATCACCTTCAGAGCTTCCCTGCCACCTTGGCTGTAGGAGGTGATACAACTCTTGTCATTCACCAATAAGTTGATTTATGGCATCTGAATTTGATGCTAAAAGGAAGACAAACCACAGGATATGGTTCAAAGAGCGTATTTGCTACAGAAGATATTGTGTGTTATCTGAGAACATCTGACTCAAGATTGTGCCTTATGTTATAAAGTAGAAGTAAGAAGACTGATGAGTTGAAGGAAGGAACCTGGTGTTCAAGGGTCCTGAGAAGGGACCTTCAGGAATATTATCTGACTTGAGAGACTACTGCAATTGATTGTTTGATGTAATATTGGCTATATAGATTACCCAAAATTGTTCCTTTAATTAATTCAATCAACGTACTATTTTAACAATCCTACCATGCCAAAAAGAAAATCCTACGTCAAACCACAACCTAAAGAGAAGATGATCCCCACCAATGAACCACAAGACTCCTGCACATGCCTTAAATGCTACAAAAATCTAAAGGATAATGAAAACTCCACCAAATGTTCTCTGTGTAAAAAATACACTCATCATGACTGCTTGGGATTACCTGAGCAGATGATTCAATACCTAAAATCATCAAATGAGTTTCCACATTTCTGCAAATCATGCAGACCCAAACTGGATCTGTCTGAAAGAGTTGATACCATCGAAACCATTGAAACATCCCCTACCATCGAAACCATTAAAACATCCCTCAACATCATAGTAGCATCCCTGAACGCCGTAAAAGAAAGAATATCCAACCTTGAAAAAAAAGACACAACGCAAAAACCTGAACATCCAATAGCTACAAACCACATCTCTACCAATCAACCACAATCCAATCCAAAACCCAATCCACAAATAAACACAACCCAGACAAATATTGATATCCCAATCCTCATGAGAGAAGCCGTTGAGCGTGAACGGAAACGTCCAAATGCCATCTTATTTGGTCTAGAAGACACCAATGTCAATGATGACATCACAACTGTCCGAAACATCATCAGAAATTATCAAGCATCAACCATCTCCCGAGCTTTTTACAATTTTGTAAACAACAAACTAAAAGACTCAAGGTCCATCCCTCCCTTGATAGGACCTGATGGTAAAGACTGCAACGACGACACCATTAAAGCCAACATCTTTAACACATCCTTCGGCTCAGTATTTGTAAACAGCAATGGATCATGCCCAGTATTTCCTAGCCGTACCACAGATAACAA